ACACAACTGGTATGTCTTAAACCCTCCCACTAATCCTCCCGTTTTCCACAGACTGACTGGATAAGTAGTCTTTAAGCTTTTTCATACTGAAAAAAAAAAAAAAACCCAGGTCTTTCAGTGTCAGAACTTCCAGGATTAAACATTCTTTCCAGTTGTTGGCTCATGGCCTGAAGATCCTGCACTTTCAAACTTATCCCATTCTAGCTAGTTCAAAGATCAGGAAAATGAAGCCATCTTCTTTGCAGCCATAATCCATGACCCATGCTGTTAGATACTTAAGAACATCTCAAAAGCAAACTACCTTGTTTCAGCTCCCAGCAGGAGCTCAGCAGGGCACTGGATCACATGACTGCGAGCCCTACCTAGTCAGGTGACTCGCTAGCTAATCTGATTTGGTGACTATAAAACTTTAATCAGTACAGTCTAATACCATCACATTCCAGAACTGATCAGGGAAGCAGCTTGGCAATGTAACAGCAAACACTAATAAGATTATGAATTAGGACTGCCACTAGGATGCAGTTTTCTAGTTCTCTACACCATGCATAAACCCAACAGAAAAATATGACTGGAAACCGATCAGGCAGACATATGGATTTGAAACAAAACGCACTGATGTGTTTTATTCCAAAATGGATAGCTTTTTGCTCATTGTCATGGAAGGACAAGAACACACACTGACTCTTACAAGGCACAATTAAAACATAGCAAAAATACTAATTTAGGATCAAGGAAAATAAAATATGTACAACAACATTGCCTTGTCGAGAAACACTGCTCAGATACAGCCTCAGTCTGCATTAACTGAAGGCCTAAAGAGTTTACATCCACAACCCATGTAAACTGCATGCAGTAAACAAAGAAAAAAGACAATGACAGCCCCAACAGGTGTGTTTCCTCTTATCAAGCACAAAATATCTAAAGCACACTTAAAGTGCTGCTATTCCAGGGACACTAGGATATTCACCAAATCCGTAGGCTATAGCTTTTGAAGAGAAATGACATACTTGCAGCTCAAATTCCAAGCATACCTTTTCCCAAATGTTTTGATTGCTCTCTCTCACCCATTGTATTCCCTCCATTTTTTCGTTAGGGAATTCTCACCCAAAATCCTCTTAATCCATCCTAGAATCTGCATTTGGCATAGGCAAGTAGTTGAATTGGATCAGCAAGTTTACAAGAAATGGAAAACAGAGAGCTTGGTTTCTTCATACTGAAGTTAGGATTTGCAGTTAAAATGGACATAAACATTTGATCCAGTCTACAAGATCATACGCGTGCAGCAAGAAAGGTTGATCATTTTTACAGTTTAAGACATCCCAATCTAGATGCAAAGGTTTAAAATTCTCCATTTTACAATGACCTGAGCATGACCGTAATCAGTTGTCAAAGCTCAGCTGACAAGAAATAACTTGCCAAGACCAATTGCTGATCACTTGCAATCATCTCCATGTTCTTTAGCTTCTCTGCATTTCAATTCCATCCCTAGCACAGGAATAGTAGGACTTACCTACCTACTAATGTGTATTTCAGAATGAGGGGGTTTAATATAGTAATATCCTGCACTACAATTCCTGCAGTCTTGCTTTTTGTCAGACAGCCCCTAGTGGGATCTTTTACAACAGCTGGAATTTCATGTCTTGGAAAGTGGACACGTGAACATAAGCAAACCTTTAGTATCATTCAAAGAGACTGAAAAAGCTATTATTCCTGAAAACAAAACACCATTGACATAAAAATGAAGAAAATTCCATAAAATCAGTTTCTTTTCTATTTGTCTGAAATGCAGGTAAACTCAGATGTTTTAAGTGGCGTTTTCATAAGCACGTAACTCACTTGTAAAACTTTTTCAAAGATTTTTTTTTAAAAAAAATATTTAATATGATAAATAGCTCATTTCCACCTGCTTTCTAAATTTGTAGACTTTAACTGTTCCCATGATCTTAAAAAGTGACAGAGGAAAAACTAACATCATAACTACTACAATAGTTTATAATGTTCAGTTCTTACACTAATAAGCTATTTCTACTTTGTATTTTTTGTAGTACCTGAAAGTCTCTTCTAAGTTACAAATTAAGAGACAGTTACTCTATATTTCAAAGATGTCAACTCGTAACATTCATAACAAAAATAATGCTTTATTTAAAAATACATAAAATTCTGAAATAGCTGCAAGGTTCACAGGGTGAGGTGAATTAACATTTCACAAGAGGTAGAAGGTCAGCAAGACATGGAAGGTTCAATTGCCCCCTCCTCACTGTGTGTATATGCCCTTTTCCTCACTGCATCAAGTCAGCAATATAACACAAAATTAACCTATTAAGAACGTGGATAGTTCCAAGTCAGATTAGTGAGCCAAACTAGCTCAAGAAAGGATCTGACAAGCACCAGGGTTTGTTGGGCTGAATCACTGGAAGCAGAAGAGGGAAAAGAAAACACTCTTCCTCTTTTAGCAATGCAGACCTATTAGATCAGCACAGGAGATGTTGAGATTTCCAGTAAACTTCTAATTTATGCAAGAAATTTTGAAAATGGTAGGACCACAGCACAAGAATTCCTAATTGCAAAATGCTTTCCAAATCTGGGCTCCAAAATGGAAGAGAAAAAAAATAATTATTTAGCCCTTGGTTTTAATTTCCCTGTAGGAAAAGGAGATAAGATAAAGGGAAAAAAAGTATAAAAGCTACCTGTCAGAGAAGTACCAGCAAGAAATGAATGAATGAGAGGGCTCAGCCCTGGATGTGTATTATCATCCATTCTATATAGTTAATGCAACCTATATTAGTACATTTTATTTAAAAAAAAACAAGCAAAGAAATACTTTGTCTCACTGAATTAACAAAAGGAAGCGTACTGCTTAGAATGGGGAAGGGGAGGAAATCACTGAGACAAAAGTACACATAGGAATATTCTGATAGGTAAGTGGTGACTTACCAAGTGTATCCTCTTCGGGTTACAAGCATTCCATAAAGTTCTCCATATATATACACACTGCAATTTTTAATAGCATTACACACAATCTGCAAGCACACGTACCTGAAATATTCAGGTATCTGGACTCCAGAATGACAATACAGTAAGGAATGGAAGAGCTGATGCGATGTTTTAAAAGTGGAGAACTCTCTGTAAGTTTCAGCCTCCTCACTCAATTATACAGAATTTACACCAAAGAATCCAACCAACAATAATGGATCCTTGAACTATTTTAAAAGAATTGCGAATTACACTTTGTGCCTTTATTTTGTTAAAGTCTTTCTATTCCAGATATTCACAAATTAGTCAGATCCTACAGAAATGACATTTAATAGCTACATTTATTTCTTGCCATGTTTTTAAATGTGTCCTCTGATTTTGTCCTCTAAAGAAAAATCCTTCTAATGTCCCCTGGACAATAATCTACATTTGAAATTAAATATTTGTTATTCAGTATTTCACAGTTTGGCATTGAGACAGCCTCTTGATACTCATGATAAAGACCTTAAACTGTCCACTCTTTAACATGTAAAGAAGCTTGGTCAGCAGCAATTTCACCAGCTAGGAAGATATAATACTGAAACTTCATGCTCCCGAGCTTGAATTTGGTATTAAGGAAAAATTTTGAGGCTCAGAATTGTTAACATATTGTTGCTCTTTCTTGCTGTTCATACTTAATGCGAGTATTTTTTTCCTTAATTAAAAAAGAATAAATTAAAAACCAACTAAAAACAACCACAGATGTTCAAAACCCATGATTTATAGCAGTAACAAAAATAATTTATTGAAATTAAAGATGGAGAGTGGGAAATTATAACATTAGAGCCTCATCAGCGCATCCTGCTATGTGCAGATGTCTTCAAGTACCTTTTGATGCATCTGAAATGCCAACATACTAAAAACAAATACTTGTGACGGTGGCTCTTCTATATGCTCATAAGGATTCCTCTTAAATTCAGAGTACTGTAACATAAAGTGTTGATTTACAAAGCAAGCATACTAGAAATTTTTCATTAAGAAAAAGGCATTTTAATGGATTTATACAACAGCAGAACAGAAAAGGAAATATTAAATTCAGATATTTCACCATTTTTTACATACAGTCAGTTTAAGGTGGTCATTTGCTGCCATGTACAAGGCCACAGGCTACCATCCATAAATGGCTAATAAAGAGTAAAGGCCATATTTAATCTTCTAAAATAACTTTCTATGATATTAGTAACTAATTCAACAATAAATGCTAAAGAAGCACAGAAATTACATTTCTCACGTAAGGCAGCTTTTTCTTCTAAAGCCATCATATTGATGCAAGATCTTGCTTCCAAGTGAGAGGTCTCAAATCACACATTTATTACAGATCGGCGGTTATTTACAAACACGACAGGTACTCCAAGCATACTTATATACTGTATTACATACAGTTACTTAAATACTGTTGGGGGGGAGGAGGGGGGAAGTGGCGGTAGAAAAGAATGCTTTACAAATACTTTGTCCTTCCTATTCACGTCCCGGCTCGCAGCCAAGAAAAGCTTTTTTCGAAGGGGGTGACGCGGACGGTGCGGCACAGAGACTGGCGAGACAACCCAGGGGGGGCGAGCCTCTCCCTTCAGGACTCGCTCTACTTCAAGCCTTACTGACACCTCGGGCACCCCAAGCCTCCTGAGAGGAGAGCGGGGTTTTCCCCTCCGCGGCACGGCCGGCAAGGCCAGGTCACCGGCACCGCACTACCCAGCCTCCTCACGCCAGGGCG